ATCAATTTATTTAGTTTAGCTCTTATTATATACATGTGTGGTCCGTTGTATTAATTCTTGAAATATAAGTAAAAAATAAAAAACCAACAGGACTGAGAAGGAAAAGGAACTGATTAAGCGGGAAGCTGATGAGGCAAAGTCTGCCATGGACAGTCTTACGCGAGAAAAGGTATTTTTTGTTCTTTGATTATAGGGTTTTAAATTATATATATGACTATATGGTTATATTTTTATTTCCATTGTTGTCATACAGTTCAGTTTACAGTCCAGTTTCATGTTCGTAATAATCATCTACAGAAGAACATGAACATATGGTGACATTTTTCTCCTGCTAGGCAATGGCTGATAAGGCAAACAAGCAGATTCAGCAGCAGATCAATGACGTAAACTCTAAACTGGACGAAGCAAACCGCAATCTTAATGATTTCGATGCTCATAAGAAGAAGCTTGCTATTGAGAACGCCGATTTGTTGCGTCAACTAGAGGAGATAGAAGGTCAGATCTCTCAGCTGAACAATCTCAAGGTTTCTCTCACGACTCAGTTGGACGATACCAAGAAGATCGTCGAGGATGAGGCTAGGGTAAGGAATTTACAGATCCAGATTTACATTTTCATGATTTAATCTATTTTTGTTAATTGATATTCTGTTTTGGTTATGAAATGCTTTTTATTTCTTGCTCTTTCTTGCAGGAACGAAGCTCTCTTCTTGGTAAATTCCGCAACCTGGAACATGACCTTGACGGCCTTCGTGAACAGCTTGATGAGGAAACGGAAGCTAAGGCTGATGCCAATCGCCTACTGTCCAAGGCTCACGCTGAAGCTCATCTGTGGCGCTCCAAGTATGAGGCTGAAGGTGTGGCTCGTGCCGAGGAGATCGAGGCCGCCCGCCTGAAGCTTGCCGCTCGCCTCGAGGAAGCTGAATTACAGATTGAACAACTCAATGTTAAGAATCTGCAGATGGAAAAGGCAAAGGGGCGCGTCCTGTCCGACATTGAGGAGATGCAGCTGCAGGTGGAGCGTGCTCAGGGTCTGGCCATAGCTGCCGAAAAGAAACAAAAGAACTTTGATCGGGTTGTCAACGAATGGAAGGTAAAGGTTGACGATCTGGCCGTGGAGCTGGATGCTTCCCAGAAAGAATGTCGCCAGTATTCCACCGAGCATTTCCGCATCAAGGCCATGTACGAGGAAAACCTTGAGCATCTGGATGCTGTTCGTCGTGAGAACAAGAGTCTGGCCGATGAGATCAAGGACTTGATGGAGCAGATCAGCGAGGGTGGCCGATCCCTTCACGAGATAGAGAAGAATGCAAAGCGTTTTGAGATTGAGAAGGAAGAGCTTCAGGCTGCTCTCGAGGAGGCCGAGGTGGCCCTTGAACAGGAGGAAAACAAGGTTCTTCGCGGCCAGTTGGAACTTAGCCAAGTCAGACAAGAAATTGAGAAGCGAATTCAAGAAAAAGAAGAAGAATTCGACGCGACCAGGTAAGCATCTTACATAATTCGTAAAGTAAAAGAGAACAGTACTAAATCATAGAGCAGCTATTATAAAACAAGTGAAATCAAAGTTGTTGCATATTTATTTTTCATTTATTTATTTATTTTTATTATTATTATTTATTTTTTATTATTATTATTTTTTTTTTTTACAGAAAGAGTCATCAACGTGCAATTGACTCCATGCAAGCTTCCCTTGAGGCTGAGGCTAAGAGTAAGGCTGAAGCTCTTCGTATGAAGAAGAAACTGGAGTCTGATATCAATGAACTGGAGATTGCGCTCGACCAGTCTAACAAGGCCAATGCTGACATTCAAAAGGCGGTCAAGAAGGCCCAACTGGAGCTGAAGGATATGCAAGCTCGCATTGAAGAAGAACAACGTGTTGCTTCAGAATACCGGGAACAAGCCAGTGCCTCTGAACGCAAGGCTAATGCCGTGAACGGCGAACTCGAAGAATCACGCACTCTCCTGGAGCAGTCCGATCGTGCCCGCCGCCAGGCAGAGTCTGAACTGGCTGACTCCAACGAAACTCTGAGCCACCTGTCGGCCCAGCATGGATCTTTGTCCATGGCGAAGAGGAAGTTGGAAGGCGAGATGCAGACCCTTCATGTGAGTTTACTTTTAGTTTGCATGTATGGTTTTCGTACAGTTAGTCTTATCGTGGTTTCTAGAGCGTGATGTCACATAAGATTCCTTTTCATCTGCCTTTAACTCTGATCTTTAAAAACTTTTAACAGGCTGACCTGGATGACATGTTGAACGAGTCCAAGAACTCTGAAGAGAAGTCCAAGAAAGCGATGGTTGACGCTGCTCGACTTGCCGATGAACTCCGCGCTGAACAGGAACACGCCCAGAACCTGGAAAAGATCCGTAGAGGCCTAGAAGTTTCCGTCAAGGAGCTGCAAGGTCGTCTTGAGGAATGTGAAGCTAACGCACACAAGACCGGCAAGAAAGCTCTTGCTAAACTGGAAAAATCCGAATTCCGTGAACTGGAATCGGGGCGCTCGAAATGACGAGGCTGCGCGCCGTCAGTTTGTTCTGAGATTGGTAGTATCTCTTCTGCGTGTAAGTAGATGTGCACGCGAGCGGACCGCGCCCAGAAGAACCTGTAGGAAGTTGCGAGTAAGGCGCCATCCTGCTCAAGGAGCTCAGCTGTCCAGTCCGACGAGGCAAGAAGACCACGGAGAGGATGCAAGGACCGGCTTGGGTTGTGACCGAAGCTAC